ACACACATAAGCATAATTACAACTCTGTACGTAATAATGAGAATTGCATGTACATCTCGATTAATTTAACATATGAAAGTTTAGGTGAAAGCATCATGCAGTTCAGTTTATGGTTGTTGTTGTAATGCTTATTTGTAGTAAATTTTGTGCACGTATGCTCAAAAATTTGACTCTTTAAAGCCGCAAAACTTTATAGTCATCATTTATTTACTGTTATAACTCAGAAAAAAATGTAATTTTTGTTTAAATATAATTATTATTGAAGAGTTCAAGTATTAAATTTAAAGTAGTTAAAATATGCGGTAGCTATTAAGAATGAGCTATGCCCCATCAAAATGACATTCTTATCCACTTACCTAATGAGGAGATGAGATACGCTTTGTCCAAAATGACAAAATGAGATCAAAATGATAATTAAACATATCTCTCTCTACATTACACACACACACATTTTATTTTCTATAGTTGGTCCAGTTATTACTGTTAATCCAGTGAGTATTAATGTCAGTATTGAAGTGAAAAATATCACATTAAACTGTACTGCAAGAGGATTCCCTGTACCTACCATTACATGGGCACACAATCAATCACTGATTACATCAACAGAAGACGAAATATTGATATACACTGTCCCAACATCATATCTACGGACTGTACTAAGTACAATAATCATTAACCCAGCAATGGCTAATAACACTGGGGACTATGTGTGTATAGCTAGCAGTCCTTTCTATAATAGTGTCAATAGTACAGTAGCACTGGTCCTTGTTCAAGGTAATGTATGTACATGTATGTGTATGTACATGCATAAAATCTTCCTTATTGGCATATAAAGGAAGTATTTACTGATAAGCTTGTTGTGATTGTGATACTCATTGTTGATGTGCTTATTGGCTTGCTACCAAGTGTTTGGTACAGTTAGTGTCTTGTTTTTGCCTTCAATATAAGCAGTGATGCTTATCATACTTCAGCATAGCTTGCATTTGCTATAATAATATATACACGTATGCTGATGTTATGCAGAAATATATGTTCTTATCTGTGGCTGTGTCAACTTCTTTGTAAATTTCTAAACTTTATTATCAAAGGAGATTTTAGTCAATATGTGCATTTAGTGCTGTAATAGGGACAACCTCTTTAGTATGACACTGTGACTCTCTCCCTCTCTCTCTCTCTTCCTTTCTCCCTCCCTTTCCCTCCTCTCTCTCTTTTATTATAGAGGTTCCTAAAATACCAGTCAACCTCAGTACCTCTGACGTTACCTCTCATAACCTAACCCTCTCGTGGGACGAACCCCATCCTAACAATGCTCCTATTCTAGGATATGATATTGCATACACTGAGCCTGACTTTTTAGGTGAAAGGGAAATAGTACTAACAGTTAATGGATCAATAGAGACTTTCTTTATTGATGGGCTGCATCCAGGGGTCACTTATGATTTTACTGTCAATGCATTCAATGAGGAAGGAGATAGTGGGTTTAGTGAGCCATTTACTCAACGTACCCTTGAAGAAGGTAATTTAGAGTAATGATACTAATAATTAGAAATATTGCTTTAAAATTATGTGTATAGGTTTTAATAGAAAATTTGTGGCCAGTTGTATGTAAAAACTTTTAAAAACACAAAAATCATTGGTAAAAATTTTATCCCACTTTGCTCTTAAAAATTGTTAGATATATTGTATTAATAATAGTTAATTATCAATCTAATATTGATATTAATTTTAATGATTTCTTCTATAGTCCCCTCTGGATTCCCACAAGGTCTGTCATCCTCCACAATAAACTCCACTGCAGTTAATGTCACTTGGATGCCAGTACCACCAGCTCAAAGGAATGGCATCATAATTGAGTATACAATATTCATCACAACTGATGTAGAATTTGTCAATGATACGACTCAAGATATAGCATCAGCAACTACACTACAATACACATTCACTGGATTAGAGGAATATGTTAATTATACATACACTATACTGGCTAGGACTGCTATTGGGGATGGACCTATTAGTGGTAGTACTACTAGTCTTACTAATGAAGCAAGTGAGTATACTACAGTTGTTATACTGTCATTGTATTAGTTGTAGTAACTGTTACTGGTATTTGTACTATTAGTAGCAGATACTACTATTTTTTGTAATGTTAGTTTGTATAAATTAGATTTACGAAACTAATTTTATAAAAGTTTGGTTGTGTTTTGTATAATGCGTTCTGTTATTGCGATCAAAGATTGTGTGATTTTATAGTTTATAAAAATATCCATGATTTTCTCCCATTTTGACCTTTTTGTGTGTGTGTGTATAATCTGCTTCTGTTTGTATCAATATACCTTTTAAATTTTAATTTTTTCTATTCAATTCACTTTTAATATATTTTCTTTGTTATTTCTCAGCTCCTGCAAGTCCACCACAAGATTTTACTGTCAACAACACAAATCCAAACAACATAACACTTTCTTGGTCTCCTCCAATAGAGCGAGACATTAATGGTGTCATTGATTTCTACACCATTAGATATTTCATCATTGAGCAACTAGGAGTGGACCCTGTTGATGGATCAATCAATGCCCTCAATGTACCAGCTACTAGTGTGACATTGACTGGTCTTGGTAATTATACAGTTTATGATATATCAGTGAATGCAGTTACTGTTGGAGAGGGTCCTAGTACTTCATTGACTCAGAGGACAGCTGAGAATGGTAAGTAAGGACATTTCACTGTAAATGTTACATATTAATTGTATATTGACAATTCAATCACTGTGTTATTACTAATATCATTCTATTTTTAGTTCCTAGAGCTCCACCACAGATGGTCACAGTAATTACTAATTCGGCTACCACTATTAATGTGAGCTGGGCTACTCCTCCATTGGATATGACATTTGGCATAATAAGAGAATATGAAATATTATATGGAAAGTATAATGCTACTACTGGTCAACTGATCAATGGCACTGACCCTATCAGAAAAGTTAATGTGACTAATGATACTTTTATGTTTGTCTTTGGTGGCCTGCAAGAAGCAAGGGAATATGGATTTCAGGTTAGGGCAGTTACAGTTGGTCCTGGTCCTTATTCAGTAATAATGACTAATACAACATTTACAGCACGTGAGTTAAAATAATAATGTACACAATTCTCTAACTTTCTTTTGAATTTTGATATGCAATTTCTCATCAGAAGATTATTGTAACCTGTCTATTAAAAATTTTGATATTTTTTACATTTAATATTCTTGTATAGCTCCTGCTGCTGCTCCTCAAAACCCAAGGGCTCCTCCTCAAAATGAGATAGGGCCTACATCAGTCACACTATCATGGGACCCAATCCCTGTTGATGAAGCTAATGGAGCCTTGCAATACTTTGTTAGCATTGATGTAGAAAATCAGGTTTCAGATAATGGTAACAGGAGGAAAAGACAGATACCTGCTACTGCTACTAACACTCTACAGCAATGTATTGATGCTACTGGTATAACTAATACATTTAGTTTCACCTTACCAGGGACTCAGACCACTCTTACTCTAACTAATATTGGTAAGCAATATAAATTGGGTCTATACAAAAATTTGCACTCTGATGCATATTTTTATTTTTTCTTTTATTTTTCTTTAGCTCCATATACAAAATACAGTTTCACTGTTACTGGGCTTGCTTTAGGTGGTAGTGGCCCTACATCTAATAGAACGTCATTTATGACACCTCAAGGATGTAAGTATAGAAACTAATGTAAATTGCTGTATAGCTGGTTTATTTCCTGTGGAAATAATTTTTGAGCAAGCTCAAATATACTAGAATTACTTTCACTAAATTTTATTAACATCAAATAACTATTAACAAAAAAATTTGTAATACAAAAATTAATTCTTTTGAAAATATAAACAATAAAAATTAGAGGCCAAGAAATAAACTGGCTATACAGTAATACTTAAAATGAACATTAATGTATCTTATTAATCTCTTTTTTTTCTATTTCTAGTTGCAACTATCCCCCAGTTACTTACAGTAGTCAGTCAAGCTAGTCCAACTTCATTATTGATATCATGGTATCCACCACTATGTTACAATGGAATTTTGGATGGTTACCAGGTACAACAAATGTACATAACATATGCACACAAATATAGCAAATGCAGCATACTTCTTGAATTATAATAATAATAATTATATGATGCATACATTTATATGATTAGAATATTATGTATATTTATATATATGCAACACTAATCCTCAATTAGTTATGCAAAATTTGACTAGAAGAGAATTCTTGACTTTTATAATTTTTTTGATATGTACTTTTGTTGCGTAAATGTTTAAGCTGATTTCAATCAAAATTTATAAATAGATTTTTTTTACAAATTTTGCATCCATTAAATATCTTGTAGTTTATAATGTCTTGCTATGGTATGTATGTTATTAATTTTACTCTTTGTAGATATTCTACAGAGCACTACAATTACATGGAGATCTAGGCAATCCTACTTCGCCTATAAGAATTAATGTACCAGCTACTACAGCATCTAATACTACTCAGTTAACTCAGTTAATAACTGGTTTAACTCCTAACACTGAGTATGAGGTTACGATATGTGCCACTAATGGAGCTGGCTGCGGTCAAAATGACACTGTTACTGTATCAACAGCTAAAGCTGGTAAGTTGCACCTCTGCCTACATTACTTTGTAAAGTAAAATAAATTATAAAATTTTTATTTTTATTGTTTTTATAGGCCCTACTCTACCTATTGCTGCAAACAATGTAACCTTTACAATTGGAGCCACTACTGCTAATATATCATTTACAATACCAAAGATATCCTGTGCGCCTGAAAACTACAGTATTATTTATATTGGACTCTTATTTCAGACAGAATGGACTGTGTCAGGGATTACATTGAGTACCAGTAACATCAGTACTGTTAATAAAAGATATATGATTGGATTAACTGATCTTGAAGAAAACAACACATATCAATTTATTGTTAATTCTACGAACTGCTTGGGAACAAATACCACAGAAACAATGAATCTTACTACACTACCAGCATGTGAGTTAGCCATTGATTATTCTTTTTTATTTGCAATTTTCATACAGTACCAGCAAGTTCTCCAACTTCTTGCATAAACGTTACATTTTTGCCTCACAATGTTACTCTAAGTTGGGCTGAACCAGCATTAATTGATCAGAATGGAGCACCTGTTGGTTACAATCTATCATGTACAAGTATTGATGGTATATCAGTTAGTGGATTGAATGCAACACAGAAGACAACAATTACAGTTTTCACCGTCAGGGATGTTATGCCTTTTAACGACTACATTTGTAATCTTACATTTATCAACGTAATAGGACAAGGACCTCCTACTGTGTGTACATTTAGTACTGCACAAGATAGTAAGTATAATTAACACTGAGTTTTGTTGTAATTCGTGCTTTTATTCTTATTTATGTGTAGTACCATATGAGTATCCTCAGAATTTCACTTCTATTCCAGATAAAACTTTTGTGTCTTTTTCATGGAAAAGGCTATCGAGCCCTAATGGAATTATTACTCATTATAATTTAAGAGTAGTTAATTCAGATGATTCAAAAGTGACTAACATTACTATAGATACAGATCCTAATGTACAGGTCATAGAGACAGTTGTTGCTGGTTTCAGTCCATATCAGAATTACACTGCTAGTGTTAGTGCTAGTACAATCATTGGAGCTGGACCAGTGGCTACTACTGCAGGAAGAACACTACCAGATGGTGAGTATAACCAATTTAAAGTATGTATATGAAATACAATTCACAGTTTCTAGCTCACCTATTTTGGTGGTGTTTCCAGTTGTTATCAATGACTTAATAATAGCTCATACAATACCGATTATCAATGATAGCTCTATTAATATAACGTGGAGTCCACCAGATTATCCTAATGGAAATATAATTGGATTTGTTGTTAGAGTAGCCACGGATGATATTGCTAGTCCTAGTAATATTCCATTTGTTCCTGGCAAAATGTCGTACACATTAATTTTTGGAGGATTAAGTTAGTAAAATTGTTTTTATAATTGACAGATTACACTTTTTTAACAGAGCCTAGAGTATCATATTATATTGCCATTGCAGTCATCAATGATGTTGGTGAGGGAAATTCAGCAACTGCTATTGTCTTCACTAAAGCCGATAGTGAGACATTGCATATACTTGTATTCTTTAATTACATGCATTTGTAGGTAGTGTTACAGTATCACCATCAAATGTACAAGCAATGAGAATAGGAGATACAATAGTGTTATCATGGGATCCAGTGACACTAGAAGAAGCTAAAGGATTCTTTGTATACAGTATCAGGTTAACTCCTGATGATGGTAGCACTAGCAGTACATTAAGACAAACTAATACAAGAACTATATCAGTAGCTTATGATACCACATCAGTTAATATAACTGATACTGAACCACAGTTAGCTTATACTGTGAGTATTAGTGTATTGCTATTGAGTGATGTAGGACTAATTGAAGGACCAGCAATTCATACCTCCCTAACAAGTTAGTAAAATTAATTTGCTTCATAGTTAAGAAATGTTATTTTCATAAATGACATTTCAAATAAATTATTAATACTTTATTACCATATTAAGATTTAAGAAACTAAATTCATTTAATTTGCTGCATATAGTAGCAGGATGATTTTACTGTAACTATTATTTTTTGTCATAGCATCAACTCCTGGCGGTAATGATGATGGAAATATTATTCTCTTGGTAATTGTGATAGTGCTAGTTGCATTCATAATACTGACAGCATCACTTATTATTGTGTGTGTGGTTGTTGTAGTAAAGTACAAGAAGCATTCAAAGAAATTTGATTTGAGGTTAGAGCCAATGATGGTACAGAAATTAGATAATTTTGATATGATGCCAAATATGCTGGTCATAATGACTTCATTTATAGACCAGATGAAATTAATGTAGCACCTAATGAAGGTTATGGTTTGATGGCTATTTTGAATGCTTCTGAACCACAGTAAGAATCAATCATGCATGTAAAGCAGTAAAACAATGTTGCTTTATTATAGGAATAGTGAAGGAATTTATGACAGAGTGGATTTGAATGATAGTTTATATGAACAGGTAAATGATGACCTACAGGAAATTCCAGCCATAGAACAAAATGTTGATGCTTATGAAAGTATTGCTACAGGTATATAAATAGTCTATGTGCCTCTTCTTTCACTGATTGTGTTCATGTTAATTTTTTCTAATTTTTCAATGGATGTGCAGTTGCCAGCAGTAATGAAGATGAAATTAAGGAAGAAGATAAAGACTAGCTACTCTCATAGTGGTGTCTACTCATTGAAAAGTCTTATTGCTAACTGACTAAAGCAACATTAAATAATTTTGTGCAAGTAAACATATGCACATGTTTTATTTTGTAGCATTGCTATAATTTTAGTCTCTAGACCTAGAATTAGAATTAAAATGATATAGATTTCTGTCTCAATGCTATCTAAATCACCTTTATAAGGTTCAGCAAGGAATCTGCAAAAATCATGCAAACTAGGCTTTCCATGCATGCATTGACTGAGTCTGAGGCAAATAAATTTATTTTTGCAAAGTAGCTGAAGAAACCTATCAATGAAGGGGAGGAGCATGTGGTTTAATGAGAGATAGGCCTCGAGATAAGGCAGACATGTCCACCTTAGAGAAATCCGAGGAGAGATCACTAGGTTGGATAACCGTTATTTTATGATCAGTTTTTATAGATTTTGTTTTAAGGTATCGGTGATCTTGCTGAGATATTAGATCTACTGAAGAAGTATGGATATTCTGGTATTGATTTCTACAATTTTGGTCTCCGACTGGGCCTGCTCCCTCGCACACTTGATGTTATTGCTAAAAATAACAGTGGAGATCTTAGTAGCTGTCTAAGAGAGTCTTTGAAGGCCTGGCTGGAGCAAGCTGATAACGTAGCTAGTAATGGCGGTCCGACTTATTTTACATTAATAAGAGGACTGAAGAAAACTGAACAGAATGCTGTAGCTGACGGGATTGATAGAGAAAGTGAGTAGTTTTTTTGCTTGTGGGTAGTAAATACTGTCTGTGGTATCTGGAAATTTTTACTGTATTTACCCACACCACATTCAATAATACATGACACAGTCTTATTAGTTAAAATTAAGTCACAGCACAATTTTAAAACACAAAAATTTTCTACTGCTGATCTATGGTATCAA